CCCCCCACCTCATCCACCCACACGCATACCCACACCCACCCACACACACAATGAAATATCATCCTGTATCAGTGGCAAATAAAGTTTTTTTAGATCCCAATATTGAATTCAGCAGCCTTCACAGCCACTGGCAGCACATTTCACACTGCATTTAGTTTGTAATATCAGACATTCGGATTATATTATCACCAGTTTAATCTTCCAACATGAGGTCTGCATTGTAGTGCTGCTGTAGGTCTAAATTCTCGCAGGGATGGAAACAAACGAAACTAAACATTTGGTTTGTTTTAAAAAAAAATAGGGTTATTAAAATATACACTATGAGGATAAATGGCCTCTGGAGCTTAGATATACACAAAGAATGCTGATATTATAATCCAACATGTGCAGGCATTTTTTGTTTATTGCCCCAGGAAAACTGTGTATAATGATGTTCAACATCCTATAAATGTTATGATATATAACAAAGTTAGACGCGAGAGCACGTACCAACTTGCTGAAACTGTTCTTTTTACTCAGACAGCCGATCAGATTATAAATATAAAAAACAAGTGCCCTGTGTTTCTGAATACAAACTCATTTGTGGCTTATTTGTGCAAAACTGTAGAAACCTGATCAAATGTTTCGGTTTTGACAACTGATTTAATCGTGCAGTTGTTGTTCTTTAGTCATAAATAATATTTTGAAATATATTACATCTCCCAGAGAGCATAACACTGCGAGGTGTTGAGCTCCCATGGGGACTCTGTTTCTGCTTCATATTCTGACAGGTGCTCTCAGAGAGAGACCAGCATATCAAGCAGCAAAACCCACGGGTCGGAGGAGCTGTACCTGACACTCCACCTGTTAATGAGGCACGCTGTTCTGACACATCCTCACATCTGGGAGATATGTCTGTCGGATTCCCCAATCAAAGTTTTGTCTAACATCTGACGATTTCTTTTTCCCATTTTCGGTTTGTTTGAATCAGATTTGTTCAGCATTTGGAAAGATGTGCCTGCTTTCCTGCAGCAAAAGCAAAATGCTGTTTTCCATGAATGCACTTATGTCGGGTATAAAGTTGAACAAAAGTAGCTCATTGTTGTGTTTACCGGCATACCTGCTTCATTCAGTGTTTATAGAGAATTTGAGGCTTTGATGTGTGGAGTTATATTCATGCTTTGTACTGTAAATATTTAAATATTTCGACTGATATTCCCTCACTAGCACCGGTGCTCCACACAGTGAGGAGATCAAAGGCATGCGGTCCACAGAGGCCCTTTGGAGATATGATTCTCACTGACAGCTCAGCTTCTGTTGTTCTAGCTTAGTGAAAAACTGTCAATTATTTCTTTTTCAAACTGAAGGCTTATTCTATGAATGTGATCCATTGTGTGGCAGTCATACATATTTTCCATTTGTCTCTTTTAATGTCTTAATAATGATTAAGAGATCTCCCACTCCATAGAAGTGCACATACTGTCAATGGAGGAAGCTTGTGTGTCTTTGCCAAAGAGATAACATCTTAAATGTGTATTCACTCCAATGACAAATAACATTATTCACACATGGATGCTATGTTATAATGAAGATTATTTTTTGTGCATTACCCATAATATGATAATTCATAGTTGTGAAATTCTTGCTGTCGATAATAGATTCTTGCTGATAGTTATTTATCAGCCACTGTATATGCGCTGACCTATTTGCTCATTTTGTTTGTTTACTGCTGAAATCTCGTCTTGAAAACATGTTGTTGACAATGGACAACATTTCTAGTTGAAATGCGTTTATAGAAGTCTCTTCCGAAGCTTCTCTGTATCTCTATAGATACTGCAGTATGCGATAAGACAGAGGAGCGATGAGTTCAGGGCCCGGCTGTGTTTGCAGACTTTTTGTATCGTCAGGGTAAAGTCCTGCTCTGACTGTCAACCTGTTTTAAGAATCTTTGAGGTGCCTTTTTCAATTTAAATGTGTAGAACATGTTTGGGTAGGGACTGTTTTAAGAAGAGGTGTGATACATTAAAACAACAATTCAAATCAGTGGCAACATGAAAGGCCTTTTCACAATATTTGCCACGGCCAGGGTGGTTATTTTCTTTGTCTTGGTTTGATGGTTAATTGACCGTTATTGAAGTCATAAAAAGAGTGAAATATTCTTGAACTTGGTGAAGGGTTAAAGCATGGGCAAAGGGAATGACCCATTATATTAAGGAGCAGATCCGAAACATGGAGCGGACGTACACATTATGTTTCAGTATTGGAAAATGCTTTGGTGGGGGTCTACGCTCTCAGGGTGCCTTTTTAGTTTCTTCTATTTTATATAGTTTTCTAAAACCATTAAACATTCATTCGGTGTATGACAAGAACACTGCTTTACCATTACTACACTCATTTAAGGACTATTGATAGTACTGTAATACTACAGGATGCATTATTCTGTTGTATCTAATGTATTACTTTATAATCAATCATTTATACAGTTATTCATATCATTAAAATACCAACAATACGAAAAGAGAGCACACAGGGGAGGATGCATCTCTGTCAAGGCTTTCACAATTAAAGCCCACAATAATAAGTTCAGGTTGATCAAAACAGTCTTGGAATAAAGTATATATTATCTCATTAAGATGTTAACGAAGGTTATATTGAACACTTTGGTTACATCACACTTGTTTTCCAAACTAAAATAGGGCAACCCTTTCAACTTTATCTCTACTCATTTTCCTGCAATTAATAAGGCCCAAATATAAGTTAAAGCACGGAGGGGGGAGGAGGGTGGGGGGTTAGATACAGAGCCGGGTGTCATGGGCATTGCAATGTGGGTCATGCATCAGTGGTGCAAGCCAGCAAACAATCTGAGGAGGGAGATCCGAGCGCTGGTGATTTCATGCTTGTTGTTTGATGGAATAAATTACTTTTATTTTTAGTGCCCCCGTTGAAGTGGTGCGGCAAACGAGTGGCTGCCAGCTGCAAATCCCCTTTGTTTACGCTTTACAACAAGTAACTGTCATGATGGCGAATCACATAGAGATCCACACACACCACTGAATCCTGTGGTGTAATCCCTCACTAATGATGATGACATGCCGTCTAATTGAGATGGGATGATTTGATCTGGGCTATTCAGAGATGAATAATGTACACAAGTAGAATTCTATACTTGGGTAATGAGAGTGAAAGGACCAAGTCTGGCCCTTGTGCTGCTTATGTTTCAGATATTTGTATTGAGAAGAAGCATACATACAAGTGTAAGCAATAGTACTGACTTCTTTGGGGTGGAAATCATACTTCTCTTTTTCAACATAGACAAACAGAACAGCCAACAAGAAATAATACAGAAAAAACATAGCATGACAGGAATACCATACTTAATGATAGACATAGTGGGAAAGAAAATACAAAATAGTATATATAATAAAAATAAATAAATAAATGTAAAGGGTGCAGATGAGCCCAGACTGCCCTTGTGCTGCTTATAATAGAAGATGTGTGTTTAATTATAATGGCCAAGGTTGCTACGGCTCATTTACACCCCTGATTGAAAGCATCACATGACACACTCTGCTGGTTCAGGTAACAACCCCAGGAAGTCACACGCGGTGACTCAAAGTCGATTGCACTTCTATTAGCCTGCAACAACAAAAAACTGAGGAAACATATCCATCGGTTTTGCACCCGTCGCTTCAGTAAACCGAGGTGTGGGTGGGGGAGCGAAATGGCTTGCTGGGCTCTGTCTAGATTGGTTTTAGATAACTATCGAAAATAAATGGCCATGGCTGTCACATTATTTGCAGGCAATTGGATTTCTTCAAAAACAGATATTAGATCCAGAAGAGATTCAGTGTGACTGTGAGGGAATGAGATTTGAAGAGCAATATAGCCGCAGTGGAGATCAATCCGCATTTCAAGACTTGGGATTTATTACAGACAAAAGAAACTCTTATATTTCATCAGAAGTTGCAAAGTATTGTATTTCTGCATCTGATGTCATGCGGTTACACGTGCCTTTGTAGTATCAGGGATACTTTGCGCTTTGATTTGAGAGATTTCCATGTCTGGATTGGTATGGAAAATATTTGTATTTCAAGACTGTCCTTAGATTTAATTATTTGTTTCAACTTATATATATATCAATATTCCAATTGCTTGTTTATAGACTATTCTCCACTATTTCTATTATATTTCTATTTTGTTGTATTTACTTGCACTATTTTATCAGTTGTATTGTGTTGCACTGTGGGAGCAGCCCGTGACCTAAGATTTTCATTGACTACATAACTACACTGTAGCTATGTACGAATGATAATAAAAGCCTTGAATCTTTAAATACTGCATTTCTGTTAATAAAAGTATCATGCTGGAAGAGTGCTTATGGTATTCAGAGCAGAAAACCAGTCCTAAAATCAAATATGGTCTGAGAATCCACTTCAAAGTCTGAAAAACTATGAAAGTATGAAATGGGAAATGTGTAGGAACCCTGTCGAGTGGCTGATGTTCTTTTATTCATGTTTTGTATGCAGAATTTATAATAAAAAGAGACCATGAGTCAGAGTCAATTTTCCGTCTGAGTCTTTCATGGAAAACCTTAAATGTACAAAGCAAAAAATTTCAGTCGATTTTTGCATAATAACACACATTATCTGGACATATAAAGTGCTGAAAAGCCCAGTCGCAGCTTCAAGCCTCTCTCATGGTGGCACTGCTGCTCATTTGTCTCCTGCTCCTCTGTTCCCAGCTGTGGGACTCCAGCAGCATCATATTCAAAAGCAGCGTATCTCATCCTGCAATCGGTTTGCTTATGCATATGGAAAAAGGTTGAGAGCAAAAAGCAAAGTTATGGCCTGGACCGACATGCAGTGCAGCTTACCTTGATGTACGAGGAGGGATTAAGAGTGTGAGCTAGCAGATGATACACTGGTGTCCTTTGTTCTGCCTGTGTGTCCTTTGATTAAAAAGGATCTTTGTCTTGTTGTTTCCTTCATGTTATAAATTGGTTGCCGTTAGCTGCATTTGCTCATCTATCATCACGGATGCACTTATTTCAAGCGGGTTAATTTTGTTAGTGCATTTGAATAATGTTGTTTGTCTCTCTCTTTCTTGCAGAATCTCGTACTGCACAGCAGATAAAACTCAGGATAAAGTCTTTGCATATGTCTCTCAGAGTCAGTTCAATGAGACCCTGGAATGCCATGCGTTTCTCTGCCAAAAGAAGAAGATAGTAAGTGTGCCACAGTTGTGAATTTGCTATAAATACCTGTTTGTATAAAGCTATGTTTAGCTTGATGTACAGAAAACTCTTGGGCTTAAGCAGGTCTTCAAATCTGATTATTTAGGGAATTAGTTTATACAAGGTTTATTGGGATTTGGGCAGCAGAGCATAAATGTAGCGAGTGTGTGGCTCCCTCTAGTGGCAGCACACCTTACAGCTCTTATACTGTTGGTCACACATATTTTGAGAAATGGATAAGATTATAAATAGTATTGTCGTAGTAATAGTTCAGCTTATTATAACAAATGGTTACTTCTTACTCAAAGAAATCTATATATCACAGTAGATGGTTGAAATATCAGAGTAAAGATGTTATGAAAACATTTTCAGTGACACTTTATACTATGGCACCCATATGAACCATTTACTACATTAGTTTCGTATCAAACCCTTAATAAATGTCCTAGTAGTTGTGGTATGTGTCCATTCAGAATAATGCGTTAATGTGTTTAACAAAGATTATATTAGATGTAATACTAATATGCTAGTATTAGCAACTAATACATGGTTAATATTTGTACCGTTTTATTACAAAGCATTTTATTGAGTCCTAACTAATTATTACATTTTATATTTCGCTATTTTTGTCTCATTACTCAGTTTTTTTCCCCATCTCTTGTCTCCAGGCTCAGGCTGTGACATTAACTGTAGCGCAGGCTTTTAAAGTAGCGCTTGATCTTTGGGAGATTGCTCAGGAAGGTGAGTTCACTGAACAGGAAGTAGTTACATTTTTACTTTATGTTTTAAAAAAAAAATCATTCAATCAATCAAATGTTATTTATATAGCCCTGTGTCACAAAGTGCACATTTGTCTCAGGGGGCTTTACAATGTGTACAGCATACGACAACCTCTATCAGACTTTTGCTCAAATATGAGTTGAGATCATCTTTACTCATACGATGCACTATATGTACTCCCTGTATTATATTAAGAATGCTGACAACCAAAAGTAAAAATATTATCACATTTCATTTCTACCACATAGCTGGATCATCTTGTTTTCTTCAGGTCAAGTTTTGAGAAGTGTTTTCTGTCTGCAGACAAAAGCAGGAAGGCCAGGACTTGCTGTTCTTGTGCAGCCAGCAAAGGGCAGACGGAGACAGCAGGCCCTCAGTGTGTTCCTTCTGGTACGTTCTCTTCATGTTTTCATTTCCCACAGGGCTTCTCTGTACATTACATCATTTTAACTGCAATAATGAAAAGGTTTCCTGAAGGTTAGGATTTAATTTCAGTGGCTTTCTATAAAGCATGGTTTCGTATTTGTGGAATAATCAACACACTATTTAATAGAGGGATTTGAGGGGAAAGTTTGGAAAAATACTGATTTTTTTTCTTTCAGAGTTTAGATGAGAAAACACATGTTGGTTTATGACATCTAAAGCTAGAGCCAGTATGCAGTATTACCTTAGCTTAGCATAGAGATGTGTTGTTTTTTCTACAAACAATGCATGTAGCATTGAGGTAGAATTTCAATAAGGACTTGAACAAACTGCTGGAAGGTAAAAATACTTTCCAGAGGCAAATGTGTAAGTGGCACTCTTCCTCCCATTTCCCAAGTTTTTCTTTAGCAACAACAAGTCATACTCTCGTCATAGACATCCGTCCTCTGGAAAGCTAGCATATATTGTTACCAGTGAGAAAGGGGGAAAGTCGAAGTGATAATGCTAACAGAGACTACACAAAGTCAGCTCTACAGTAAGTGAGAAATAACCGGTGTGTGTTTCTAACCATTAACGTTACAAAAGATGCTGTTTAACAGATAAACTGATTACACATAACATTAGCATGTACTGTATGAAAATACTGCTGTTTCCCCAAAATATGGCTTCCAGTCTCTATCTGTCAGACGTGTTGGTGAAAACCCAACAATAGATGAATGCAGTTTATACAGGCAAAGCTTCACTCACAGATAACACCTGGCTCTTACCAGATCTCAAGAGCCGACGGCTTATTATCCACACTGAGCTTACTGGGAGTTATGCATATTGTGGTAATGGAACAGCACTTTAAAGCAGAAAAACAACTCCACATATTGATCTCGTGATAGGCTTTCATTCAGGTTGGTTTTTCTACAGCTTACTGCCTCCAATTGCTTTCCCATCATTCATCAATATGTTTGAGTGTTGCTCATTTGATTATAATATTGAATGTTATACTGGCAGTCTTATTATTGGTTACATTTACTGCAGAGTTTAGAATTACAATCGATAAGGCCGGGATGAATTGAGGTGTTGTAATTCCAGGAGATAAAGAAAAGGCAAGATGACTATCATCGATTTTTCCAATAAAAATAAACCATAATATATTGTCACTGAAATGAGAAGGCAATGAAATGCTGATCTAGAGTATGAGAAGACCACATTTCTCGAGACTTAAGGCTTTTATAATCCTCGTAAACCCAACAGTATCTAGCAAACATGAATAAGTCAACACTACTGTAGTCTGTTGCATAGTGACTTTAAAATGAAGTTGTGTGCAAACCACGACGAATCATTTTGTAACACACATTTAACTCCCGTCAATCAATTCCCACATACACTTGGGATAATTCACCTAATGATCTGCCACTCACTACTCAGTCAGAGTAAACCTTAAGTACTTCCCTATGGCCAAATGTCTCCCACTCCTGAGGGGGTCAAAGTGTCTGCAAATGAGACCTAATCATCCATTCAGTTTGTGGTTAGTTAAAGGCTATCTGTCCAGCTCAATTCAAAGTAGCTCCACTTCCAGTAGCCCAAGGACAGAGAGAAAATGTGATGTGAAGCCTTAAGGATCACGGGAGTAGGTCGAGACGAGGAAGCTGTGAGCACCACAGGCTGGATCTGATGTTTTACTGCAGAGTTAAAGAGACAGAACAAGCTGACAAGTGTCTTCTTCTTCTCTCTCTGCTGTATGTGTCCCTTCCCCCTCTCATCTGTCCCCCTCTGTCTCACCGCTCGTCCTCACCTGTCCCCCTGACCCTCGGATCCAGAGCAACACAAGCCGCTTGTGATGGAGGAGAAGCTCCGGAGGCCCTTCTTCTCCGCGTCACTCAGCTCGCCCTCACCTCGCAGTAACTCGACTCGAAGACGACCAATCAAACACGACTCTTGGGTAGGTCGAACCAAAATGGCTGATTTTGCCGAAAGCAGAGATTAAATCAGTTTTGATGGTTAGGTTAGATATTATCCAACTTCTTGTTACCTGATAACAAGTCCAAGACAACAACTCAAGATGTTTAACCAACACTAGTACTGGCATTTCCCTAAGTTTTAAACCTATATATCTCACTGCATAAAACTAATTTTGTATGGTTTTTTATTTGATAGCTTCCATGATAAAACTTACCTTGATTTTGGGGCAGTTTCCTTGCTTCTGAATTCCCTTTTCCGAGACATCTAAGCAAAAAACAACAAAAAAGATCAATATAGTTAATTATGACAGATGACTCGATCAGAATAAAGATGGTTCTGCCCATGCAGTTTGGAAATACAGTCTGTTTGCAAAAAATCCCTATACATTAGGCCAGTACAGTGATACACGTCACCTTAGCATTATACTGTATCAATGCCATGTTGTGTACATTAATTATTCCAACTCATTGATCCATGTGATGGACTAACATTGATACAATGAACTTGTCTAAGGGTGCTTAGCTGTGGACTACGAACTCATTCTCCCACAACGTTTCTTATCCTTAAAAATGGGACTGTTTTAAGTAGATAAGTTAGCAACAATCAGAGCGTAAAGGTAATGTGTAAATCATTTGAAATCGTCATGCTACAGAAGCTGCCAGTTTCCTGGTGTTTACTTGCATTTTCTGAACACTAGGTGGCAGCATATTCATGATGATGTCTCTGCAGGCTGATCTCATACAGTATAACATATTTGCCTCACCCAACTTTATTCTAATACTCTCCTCTCTAATGTTATGCTATTTTATAATTCCTTCATGGTTGCATTGCTTCTGTTTATAAAGAATATAATTTCAAGTCTTAATTTGACAAAATTATATTTATTTTATCATAAGAAAAAGGAATCGCTTTTAAATTGTTTTGATCACTTGCTTACAGAGAACCAAAAATCTATCCCTTCCAAATGTTTCCAGACTTTCCCCCGTATGTAAGCCATGCAATATTGCCATACAGTCACGGTGATTGTAACATAAGTAAACTTGAAACATCTGAAATATGCAATATTTAATTATTTAGCTCTTAATTAGTGTCTGTCTCACTCAGAGGAAATGAGTTGTGACAGCAGCTGACTCAGCAGGATTGTCATTTGAAGTAATGTATGTGTTTATTGATTGTTATTTTTCATGTCCCAACAGGATGTTGACGATGGACTCGATGATCCGTTTTCAAGGTAACCTTATTCATAATACTTAGAGTCAACAGAGCACTGAGGGATATATTATTTTATTTAGGAAAGGAGACAGGATTGTTCTCGAGCAACAAATACTCCCCATAAAACCAAATGTATGAAACCATTGTTATGTTGATTTAAGTTCCGAACATCACCTCTTTATACTGTGGAGCTATTTTAGAGGATGACGGTTGCATTGAAGGTGACTGTCAGCTGTCAGTCACCTTTCACCTTTCACACTATTTTGAATAAGAAAACCTTCAAGTGACACGTTGACTGACAAGTATAAACACACGGAAAGGCAACACACATGCGACAGTCTAATGTTCACAGGTAACTCCTTACAAAAAGAGGCATTGCATCTATGTCAATAAGTAGACGTAGAAAGAATAAGTATTTTAAATAGATTGGTGTTTGATACATATTTTACGACTCGAGATTGACTGGTGAGGTGTTGAACATGATGTCAGTTTTGAGGCATTTGGTAAGATTTTATAAAATGAACCTATATAAATGACCTGCTGTAAGCAAGAGGGGTCAAAACTCAACACCTGTACTTATTTGTTGTGTCTTAAATCAGAGCTGAATAAAAGCAAGGCAGTTTCAGAGCTAAGCAGCTCTCAGCTCTAAGTGAATCAAAATAAATGATAATTTCAAGTAGTTGGAGATAACTTGATCCACTACCTTGAAGTGTTATGTTGAACTCAATAAAACAGCCTGACTCCTGCAACTCTGTAAGCCATTAACTCTACTGAAAATCATTACAAGCATTTAATTGAGGGCAGTTAATTTGTTTGATTAGCTTTGATACCGTATTATAAATAACTGCACAACAATGCCTGTGAATAGACTATTGTTGGCTCTGTCACACACTACAGTGATTGAGTGTGTAACTAGGCAGCAGTGTGCACTCCTGTGAGATCTCTGCAGCTCTTGAAGCCTGGCAGACAACAGAAGTGACTTTCCTTTCCTCTCCTGCCAACGTGATTGTCACCTCTCCCGACGAAGCTGTCAGGAGCACGGAGACGGAGGCCAGGAAGGGCGCTCCACAGTGCATCAGCATTTCATCTCTGAACAAAGATTACAATGCCACACCTTTTTTTGTACTTTCTTTGAGAGTGTGGCGGTCTGTGAAATTGCAGTGAGACGCCTGCAGAGAGACTAAAATGTGAAATTTGAGTCTCGGTGGGTGTAGCCCAGAAAACACTGTAAACATGATATGATTTAACACTTATAACATCATGCATGTAGTCCCTGTGACATACTCTGGTATAATGTGCCTCAAAAACGGTTTGAAATCAGCCAAAAGAGTCAGTGGTATCTGAGCCCTCGGCATAGATTTTCATATCCTGATACAACCAGCTGATCTGTGTGTATGTGCAGTGCTGTATTATCACTACATAAAAAAAAAAGAGCAGCAAAGGGATGGTGCCTCACACTTTAAAGGGATTGCAACTCATTAAATGGTGTTGCCTCCGGCTAAAAGATGTGTTTGCTGTGTTAAAGAATGCAACACTTGAAGCCAAATGGGTAAATATTATACAGAAGTGAATGTAGAAGCTGTCTGCGTGTGGAAGGAGATCAAAAGAAGAAGGCGGGTCATCCCCGAGGCTTTTCTCAGGAGATACTGACCTCAAGTGTGGATGTCAAATTTGGGGAGGTGGAACACTTAGATCTTAATCTGACATCCTAGAGGAAGGTTTTTTTTTGGGCAGTGTTAGAGCAGACCTCCTCTGCAGAGGTCAGCGAGGAGGTCAGGCTCTGCTGTGGCGGGGGCACAAAAGGAGGATAAGATCTGACCTGAGAGCTGGAGGACTGTGGGTCACGTGGAGCTGTCAGGGCTGTCGCACATCCTCAGTGTTGCTGTGATGTGACTTTAGGAGTAGATCGGCACAGAAGGGTTGTCGGTACCCTGTCTCGAGGAACCTTAAGGAGCCTTGGCAGATGTGCATCCTGCCCTGTGTGCTCTCTCTGAATTTCATATTGTTTGTTAACTTTCAGGGATCACTTGTGTATGTACTGTCATGGTGTCAATGCACCTCATTTTATGTGCATTATCAACGTGTGTGGCAAAAATCCCAAAATAGTTTTTACGCTTGGCTCAGGTGGAGAAGTTGGCGATTTGATAACAGCAAATTGTGCAAAGGAAATAGATTAGGAACCAGATTTAACAAACCATTGGTCATGATATTTGGAAGCATGTGTACATCGAAGTTTACTGAAGCTTCTTCAACACTGAAGAGACGATTAGATAATGGCCTCATCTCTCCACAAACATCTACCTCCTCACATTAATACATGGAAACAAACCATGTCAGTGTTTGACGGTCGACTGGCGCCATTTTAATCTTATCATATTTTTGCAGCATCTCCATTTGAGAGCTGGGAACTGATTGGTTCCCAACTGTGCTGACATTTTAAGAACTTTGTATATCTTATAACACTAAATAATCCCAATACGAGTTGACTAGTTGACAAGCATGCAAATCTTTTTGTTATCCTTAAGGTTTGGTGTGTTGGCTATCTCTCCTGTGTATAAAACTAACATCACATGACATCTAGAGCCAATTTCCTACTTTAGCATCTCAATTTGTGAATATAAAAATGGCATTAAGGGTTAATTGGTTGATCTGTGGTTTCCATTCCACTTAAATGTCTTTATTCCAAGTAGCAGCACAGAGTCAAAGGCTCGCATGCAGTCTTCTACTGATGCAGCCCGACCAACCTCAGAATAAGCATTTGAATGATTAGCTCCAGAACAGGTCAGGGTTTAGGCCTCTGTGAAAAGAAATCCAATTAATAGAATAGTATATAGTTATTCAAGTGAAGCCTCATTGCTTATAACCAGAGCAATGTGTCCTGACAACTGCTTCAGTTCAAATGGGTTTATTAAATGGTTTTATTTGTATTTGAGATTTTTTTTAATGAATAGTGACCTTGGAGTTAAATGAGTATTATGCAGCTGTTGGCTTGGTACTGATGTAGCTTAATATTTTTGACCTCATCAAAATTAGGTTCTTTTTTTATTGCTGTTGCAATTGTGTGTGTCTTTAAAACTATGCATGGTTTCGCCTTTGCATCACATGGCGTGCACGTTAACATGAGGTAGTGTCGCTGTCCGTTCTGTCCGTTCTTTGCTATTGAGTCACATAGTCATGGTTTTCTTTTTCTACCTGGCATGCAGCAACATGGAAGTAGAGGAGATGGACACCGGTAAGTGACGGCATGTGACTTATATGCTCGGTACTGCATGTTGCCTTACATGTAGAATACCCCTCATTTCTGCACAGGACTCTTCCACCTTTGCTTCGTACAAACATTAGTATCAAGCACATCATTAAATCAGTAGCTCTCATCTTACACGGTCACTGTGATGTCAAGCATTCTTGTGTGATATGTTGAAAACGGAAAAATAAATACCAGTTTCCCTGTGAAATTGGCGAGTTTGTGAGAAACAAATAAGCAGCTAGCCCTCGTCTTATTAATGAAGGAGACCACCGTTTTTATTTTTGGTTAACTTGAGACTCATTATTCTTGAAGTCAATGATAATTGAGAAAAAAATATTTTCTCGCTTCAGGTTTGCCTTTGTGTGTTCAATTATTGCACATACATTCATAAAAGCTTTTCAAATATGAAAACTGTTTACACTGTATACACTTAACTCTTCTCTCACACTATCATTAGCCAAACTACGTTGATTAGTGCAAAGCAGACTGGAGTATTCCCTGAAATAAGCAAAAGTACTAAATCCTGAATCAATTATGAGTCCTGACATAAAATTAGATTCACAACATAAAGACAGATATTTCAATTTTAGAATCTTGTGTTTTGTTTCTTGAAAATAAGTGATTAAGAGTTATCCATACCTTAGTTCAACATTTGTCTTAGCATTTATTTTTTCCATCAGAAACTAAAATCCTCTCATGGCTCTCTGTATGTTTGCCCCTCCGCTCCTTCCCTGTCATTCCCGTCATTTTACATCGTATCCCTTCTTCTCTCCGTTTTTAACCTCTGCTTATCCGGTCAACCCTCATGACAAATAAATATTTACTGCCTCTGACCTCTGTGGCAATCTTTTCTTCTGTCTTTCCCTCTCTGTCAGACTGGCCGAGCCCTGCTCCCAACCCGTCTCTGACCATGCAGATCTGAGTCCCTGGGAAGTCTACAACCACAATTTGTTAACCATCTGCAACAATCAGTTTGAATAACTGGCAAAAGCTGCCCTATGTACAGCACCACCGAAAAATGACCGTGAAATCAGACCCCTCAGGCCTGGAGACCAACAACACACCCCAAACAGACAAAACCATGTCACGCATTGATTTCCTCTGGCTGCTGCAGAGAGGGCAAAATGGATACCTTGATATTAGAAACTGCTCTGTCTCAATGTATGTGTGCCAGTACACACTCCACTCGGACATATTCAGCCATACTCTAACTGCTAGATGAAAGGCACAACGTGCAACGCAGCACTGCAAGATGAGTCATCACACAGACGGAAGAGACCAAGAATGGAGTCTCTTTATATTCCAAATATGTAAAAACAAACAACAACTGTGTACATACAATGAGACTCTCACCTCTTTCTGAAATGTGAAATGTCATGTAAAAACAAAGAAGCATCTAGGATCCACTTTGGAAATTACAATATTTGAAAGAAGCATACACGTGATGTTTAGAGAATGGGGTACAGTGTTTATTGCCAACAAATCCCAATGTAAATGTTTATTTTAAGGCCCAAAAGTCCCTAAATAAGTACTGCCTACTTTCTGTATCCAATGACGTTAACCTCATCTCTTGTTTTTCTTGATTTAGTTTGTTATGCAGCAGGTGATCCGGTGGGGGTTACCTCAAATAATAAAAACAATATCAAACAATAGAAAAATTAATGATCTGACGACCGCATTCGTTTTCATGTTTTCATCCACCAGGTGCCCTTTGCCCAAAACTTAACAGGAATTGGGTATTTTGATAACAAAGCGAACAATCACCATGGAAACTGAGTAACTAAATCTGCTGAAGAAGGCCATGAGATGTGGATAAAAGCCTTGGAAGCTCAGGAGTGAAGCTTCAAACTCAAGAAAACAAATAAACCACATTCAGATACAAATGTAAGCAGCAGGGCAGAGATGGCCTCACCTGCACTCTCTTTTATCGGGCCAAGCTCCAATAACAATGGATTCTACATTTCCCATAAACCCATTGACAACTTGAAGGAATATTTTATTAGACATCCACATATTCCAAACTCAACTCCACTGATTTGTGAAAATAAGAAAGTAGATAACTCTGATTACATATTATGACATCATCAGGTTACTTTTGAAGTATATTAAACCACACGACACAACATACAGCTGTTTCCACAGACTCGGCTATTCATAACAAGCAAACTATACTGCCATGCCCCTCTTAGAGAACCACATCTTTGTCTGATTTAGAAATATTAAATACATTTTTTTAAAAACACATAGGATGACCCTCCGTTTGTGAGAAATGTGTATGATTCGGTAATCAAATTGAGTAACCCTTGTGCTGCTTTATGTGAACAATGTTAATAGATAGTGTTTGCAAATATCACAATCGTGTTCCACTCAAATCAACAGCAGACTTGTCTCTCACAGAAACCGACTGACATTCCTCTAACACTCTACTTCAATGCTGTCTTATATAAGTATGACTTTTATAATGTAATGAATAGTTTACAATACATTACATCAGTCATTTGCCACTGTACATAAAGATGGTGTTACAGAATAGCGATGATTGGAGGTTCTGAGGACGAGTGTATGGCGAGGCCATATTTACTAGAGTAAAGAAACCTATTTCCATATGCTGTATTTTTTCAATGTCAGAGTAATTTATGTAAGCATATTGTATCATCACAAAGGAAGTAGGATGAATAGATTCAGGGCTTCACACATGTTGTTTTCAAAAGGTAATTATCACTCTTGTTGTTGCTTGTATGTTTTGCATTAGATTAGACAATCTATACAAATGTGTTTCTTTTTATCACTGCAGGAATATTTTTAAAATATAGTCCTTCTCTCAAAGTAATCAACTGTTGCATTGATCGGCACAGTTCACATCTGCCTCTGTTCGCTGTAATCTGTGCCACACGACACGTCTTTTGTCCCTAACCTCATCATAGAACAATTATTGCCCTCCTTAGACGCGGCAAATAAAAAATGTTCCGCTGCTCTGATGACGTTTAGCTGTCGAAAGGATATTATATTGTGCTCCAGCCTAGCTGAAGTGGTCCTTCTCTCTGTATTCAGGGCATCATCACTGTTGTCATGACATCCGCTGCAGAATAATTGGATGGCTTATCAGGTTACGCCATGAAGCTTAATTGCATTGTTTCATTCCTGACTGGCTGAAATGAAGCCTCCAATGTATCTTTAAAAAGAAACCTCCATACCATATGATAAATAACCTCAGAATGCAGCATCGTTATTTCACCTTACAGTTGAACATCTTTCCTCTTGAGTGGAAGTGATTTTCCCAACATTTCCCCATCGTTTCAGCTCCATTGACTTCACTCATTGATTAACGTGTGGCTGTTTCAGTTTCTGCTGATTCAGTGCTTTTGAGTGATATTCAGAGATGGGCTGTTGTCCAGCACCCTTCGGACACAGAATTGATTTCCAATAACGACATAAAACAGTACCAATGCAGAGACCTTTGTTATAACTATTGAATATACCCAGCCATTTTGATTGACTTTAAAACAAAAAGAGAAGTGTAAAAATGATTTTACTTTGAAGGGAAGTCCCTTTGGGCTTTTTCTTTTAGTAGATTCATCTCTATAAATTGTATTTTGGCAAAACTTGATCTGCCTGATTTAAGAGTTTTATTTCCTGTGTCTAGGATTCTGTAGCTCACGTATCCCCTGTGAATCTTTAATGGATGCGGTGCCCTGGCACAGCCGAGCACTTTCCATGCGTGAGGGGAGGAAGGGGGTGTATCACATGCCAATTTGAGTCGAGGTGCTCTGAATACAGATCAGTCCGCGAGGGTTTGAGGTCAGAAAACATTTGAGGCTTTCAGAGTTTTTCAGATATTGTTGCCCAAAATAAGCATGATGTTTTCAAGATGGATTTACTTTTCAAATATGGTGCTTATTTTCTATCTATGCAATTAGTGGGTTTCCAACAGTGTTGTGATCATAATAGCAATTTGTGTATAAACCACAAGCAGTTGATCTAAACTGTGTAAAAAAGGTGTACAACTTTTGGAAACTGTTATGGTTTGTTACATATTTATGCATAATAAAAGACTTTGTACAAACATTTAATAGCACTTATTTTTCTTATTGAATTAGACAGTGTGTTTTGTTAAACTCTAAGCTTTTACTGTCATACCCAGTATAATTGCATGTTATATTATATTGTGCTGAACGTGTATACGTTGTCTTTCAGCACAATATAATAAGAAGTAACACATTTCAACAAATAATCTTCAAGAAGAGCCAATTAAACCACAACAGCCCGCTGTGAAGACAAGCACTTTATTTATCCCGGCCTTTCTGCTGATCATTTCAGTAAACATTAGGCAAGGCAAGTTTATTTATATAGCACCTTTCAGTACGCGACAATTTAAAATACAAAATATTTTGTGCTTTACAAAATAAAATAAAAGACATTTAAGAATAATTACAGTAAAAACACATTAGGCCTATATAATGGCATTTTACAACAGGCATTCAAAATGCAAAGATAATAAGATAAACACAACAGTTATACAATACATGAATTAAAATGCAAACTGCATTGTGAATATGAGCAGTTTAATTAAAAGCAGCGGCAAAAATACATGTTTTCAGTCTCGATTTGAAAATAGTAAGAGTTTCTGCGGACGTGCATGATTCAGGAAGTTTGTTACAGATTGTCGGGGCATAATAGCTAAAACGCTGCTTTTTAAAATTTTGTTCTTACTTTCGGAACCGAGAGCAGACCCGTTCTAGAAGACCTGAGACACCTTGATGGTTCATAATTATGCAGGAGATCGTTGATATACTTTGGTCCTAAACCATTTAGTGATTTTAAACTAGCAATAGAACTTTAAAATCAATTGGAAATGTCCAAACATTACATTATAATCCATACTGCTTTTCTCTCAAACATGTCCCTGCTCTCTGAGGTCGATCCAAAGCGAGGACAGGCTCCTGTTGGCTGTCTGACGGACTAGATCCCATCGATTCATTCAGCACACTGCCTCTGATTGAAACGTAGTAATGCATACCAGGTGAGAGCAACAATAGCTTCTCGTCCGTTTCCTCATAAATGAAAGAAATGTCCAAAAGAAGTTCATAATCTGGGAAATTCAATTTAAGATGCATCAATATTTGTTTAGCTGCACCTGTAACTTTTGTTATCTTCATTTTTAAAAGAAGAAAAAAATGACAGAAAAGAAAAAGAGACAAGAAGAGGTGAGAAGGAGGTTTATTTTGCGATTGTATCATGATACATTCTTCCATTGTTGAGGGTAGTGTCTTACCGAGCTGGTATAAGGTGAATCAGCTTTGAATATACCAAAAGAAACAGTAATCCAGAACTTTTTCGGAAAGATAATCACACAGCCAATCGGATTCAACCTTAAAAACATGATAAAGACAAAGAACCTGACACGGAGTACTAGTACTATAGCAGAACTTTTCAGAATTTCCAAATTACAGTTATTCTAGTTATTACAAATATGCCATCAGTAATTATAAGACTTTAAAGACTCTAAAAAAATAATGATTTATTGACATTTGTATTGATCTGGAACACTTCACAGAAGAGTTCAGAGAAGGGCTTTTATCCCTTCACATTTTGCAGCTGTTAAATCCAGTCCGGGGGAATTCGTGTGTGTGTTCTGTGAGACAGCAGAGTCCTCTGTTAATGCTTGTTTAGTCTGATGATTGTTTATAGAGGTATGCAAATATCATTTTAATTTCTAAAGACGTGGAGGCTGTATTACTGCTGGGTGCCTCTGATCTCATTACCAGACTGTAGCACCAGAGGGGGAAACATGAAGGCTTTCAGAACTAGCCTGGTATCTCTATCTGTAAAATACATTGTGGTAATGACGAATCAAATAGCTATTCATATATGAGGTGTTACAGAATACTTTAATATTTCCTTTTACATGAACCTGTGCACTTTTATTAATCTGTAGACGGGACGCTTGTGGAGCCTCTGCAGCACTCTTAAAAACACTACAGAAAACTAGATGTGATCACCCTGTCTGTGGGTCTGTGTGAAGGAGAGACCTGTCTTCAGGAGGGAGACCACCCTCCAGTGAGCAACAAAGAAAAGCTGTAGAAAAAAAAGGACTGATATTTTCAGAGAACTCACAGGAGACTGAGTAGCATCTCCGTGGCATTTTGTGAGCTGCACTGACAACATGTGCTGCAATTGTGTGGAGCAACCATTACACATTTTTGGTTTAAAATGTTTTCAATGGTGGGCTGCCATATAAGTCCCCTGGTAGAGCTGGCGGCCCATGTACAGTATAGGGACTCGGTTCCCGTGTGGAGCACCCTTTTTCGAAGCCAGCCTGGAACCATGTACGCATGTCATCCCCTCTGTCTCCCCCTTCCAACACTGTCATCTCCAATATAGGCTAATCTGGCACAAAATAATCTTTAAAATATATATGATGTTGATGTTGGCTTTGTTTTGATCAGTATACTAGAATGTAAAGCGGCCTTGGTTGCCTTGAAAGGCGCTATACATATGTCATCTATTATTATTGTTATTATTATTATTATTAATGACCGGGGAGAGGATTTGGCTATGACACAAGGTCGTCTGCTTCTCTCCACTTCTACTGCTCCCTGCTTGACTATCTGCAGCAGCCAGTCATCACTTGATCTTCATTTAAAGACATTTTCTCGAGTGTAATTTACTCAGGCCCAATCCCAAACCACGCCATACACCCTACCCCTACACACTACCCACTACCCCTACGTGACGGAGTGAACTCCGTGGAGTGATACTCGCAGCTCAACAAGCTCAACCAGCTCAACCAGCTCAACGAGGCTCCCTCCTGTCAGATGGAGGGAATAAATACAGCGGCAAGCTTTGGGACAAACTCCCCTCTCTCCAGCAGAAACAGGAAATGCCGTAACTGTATGTAACAACGGTTTCAAATCAGCAGACACAAAATAAAAATTAATAACTAAAATAAAACTCCAAACATCTTTAATTGTATTACTTTTTTGTAAAACTCTTTTAGTTTTAAACCTGATTTTTATAAGCTTCTTAGTTTTTGCAAGAGTCTGTAAATATACACAACTTTATAATAAAATGCACACATTCACCTTTTTCTAGACTAAACACAGGTATACGATCCTAAGTTAAAACATATGAGGTTATCATGGGGTTGTTAACATCGCAATTTATCAGTGGGTGTTTGCTGGAACTACTTGTAAACAGCGTGTTTCCTGACGGACACACACAGCGTTGAGACC